TTAAAATTAAGGGTGCTTGGGTGGCTCAGTTGGTTAAACCATCTGCCTTTGGCTCAGGTCATGATCTCAGGGTCCTGGGATCAAGTTCCAGGTTGGGTCAGGGCTCAGTGGAGAGTCTGCTTGTCCCTTTGCCCCTCCCCCTCTTCTCTCAAATAAAAATTTTTAAGATTTTATTTGACAGAGAGTGAGAAAGCACAAGCAGGGGAAACAGTACTGGGAGAAGCAGACTCCCACACTGAGTAGGGAAACCGATGCGGGGCTCCATCCCAGGACCCTGGGATCATGACCTGAGCCGAAGGCAGATGCTTAACTATCTGATCTGAGCCACCTAGCAAAAAATTACAGAATTGTGTAAAAGGGTGAATTTTAACTGTATGTAAATATCTTAAGGAAAACCCTTTAAATTGCTTAAAGTTTCCTAGTATTTTTTGCTTACTTGGGAAGTAATTTTAACATTAACTTAATTTAGCATTACCTTTAACATGACATCTCTCCCACAGAAACCAGAGCTCTAAACTCTTAAGATACCCATGGGCCCCTTTAAGGGCAGTCCAAAGTCAATGCCATTTTCCTTATTTCACTCATTTTTGCTAGTGACTGACGGACATCACATTTAGGTCCTATCTGTTTAGAAAACAAAAGGATAAAAATCATATGGTCCCTCTCAAAGATTTCCATTGGATCATGGGTCAACTACCTTTCAGGAAACATGTGGCAGTTTCAAGAAGTCAAGGAAATTCCCAGAGACTTGCAAATAATGGAGGGAACTTTGATACCACCTAGATGAAAAAGAACCTATGGGTTGGTAGTGAAAAAAGACATGATAGGGGTGCCTGGGTGGCTCAGTTGGTTAAGCGACTGCCTTCGGCTCAGGTCATGATCCTGGAGTCCTGGGATCAAGTCCCGCATCGGGCTCCCTGCTCAGCAGGGAGTCTGCTTCTCCCTCTGACCCTCCCCCATCTCATGCTCCCTCTATCTCATTCTCTCAACTAAAATCTTTTAAAAAAATCTAAAAAAAGACATTATGATAAAACAGATCAGGAAAGAAAGCTTCAGGAAGGTAAAGAAAGGGGAAAACAGGTCTTACTCCTCTCATCCAAAACATCATGCACTCCTCCCTTGCAGGATCTAGATCTCACTGTTCACTCCCTGGAGACTACAGGTTAACTCCAGAATGGTATCTTAACTTTCGATTGACTGAATTTATTTCTGCAGCATTTTGTGATAACAAATGAACATTTGAGTACCAATCTAAAGCATGTGTAAAGCCACATTAACACACAAGAAATTAGTTGTCCCCCCTTTCCTAGAGTTGCCCATTTCAGGTATTGTGACTACTATGGCCACAAAAAGTTTTGGGTTGAGCTCTATGCTCAACTCAGCAGAAAAGGTTAATAAGGTAAGTCAATTTAAATACACATGAAAATACAGCTTTTGTAATATTAATGTTTTTACACCCCATACTAAGCTCTACTTAAAATCAAGGACTCTGTACCATTTGTACAACCAATAACCGTTACTGGGGCAGAATGCTCCTGGGAGGTAAATGACCAAGTGTTAAAAAGTATACGACTGAGTTCTGATCTGGCTGAAAACTTATTTTTGACTGCCTATTCTGGGCATTGGATGAATAACCAGATTAAAAAAAAATCAGATATGCCCTACTGACAATCTGTTTTAACTCCTGAACCAGAAAGTCTTTCATGTTCCATATTCTGAAATCACACCAGAATTCCTGGGACAAATTTCAACAAGCTACCATCTGAGATTCCTTACAAATGGGTAATTTAACAGCTTGCCAATTTAAAACAAAGGTCAAACCAGTTTGAAGCATTCTGGTCTTATAAAAACTAATTTTACTCAATTCAAACACAATACAATTAGTATATAAAACTCAGCAGAGGGGCCCCTGGGTGGGTCAGTTAAGCAATTGCCTTTGGCTCAGGTCATCATCCGGAGTCCCAGGATCGTCCCACATCAGGCTCCCTGACCCTACGCCCTCTCGTGCACTTTCACATAAAAAGAAAAAACTCAAGCTTTATCCTTAGGTTCAGGTTTCAAACTAATTTGTAGTGACCACCAGTAGGTGGTGCTCAAACCAGACAATGGCATATCCATACTGGATTCTAAGGAGTTAAGCATCCCAACTAGCCAACTGAAGCTTCTCTGGACACTATCCCACTCTCCCTACCCTTCCCCTTAGTGGGAACAATTTTTTGCAGTTTTGAGTTCTAGGGGGTGGAACAAATCCCTTACAGTAAACATTACAGTTCAAAACTGTTTATGCCAGCTACCATTTATTGATCTATTTTTAAGAACCTTACCTAGATCATCTTCTCTATCCCTTAACAGTAAGCACATTTGTTCAAGTAAGTGAAAAATAAGTTGTGGACAAAATCTTAAGTTTTACAGTCCTCATCAGTGCCCCTGGTAGTACCGTTAAGACCATTTTACCTAACGTAAAACTCAATGAGAAAATTTTTTCAACTGCAGTCCTTCCTCACCTACGGGTATTTCCCTTAGCACTGTTCACCTTATAAAATAGGACACATCCTGTGTGCCTGTTCAGGGAATTAATGTTGGAAGAGTCAAGATTATCAAATGCACCAGTGTTCTGAGAGATTTGCCAGTATCCAAAGCCAAGGATTAGATGGTTGTTGCCCAAATACTATTAAATTTACCGAACACTTAAGTTCTTTTTAAAGAGCTCTTCATCCTGTTCAACTATCATTTTTCAATATTCCCTATTGTTAGTTTTTGGAGTGACACTTAGCTAGACCTCCAAAACATTTCCAAACTAAAAACAAAGCTTACCCAACACTCCAGTCCAAAATGGGTCATTTCCCATTGCACCTCTTCAAACCTTGGTTAATAATCTCCAGTGCATAATGATCCTTCATCCAACCTTGCTCTTTAAAGATTAAAATTCCTATCGAAGTGGATTTCTAGTTAACTGACAGTGAACTTTCAGTAGACTTTCTTCTCTTACAACCTAGATACAATGAACTCTACCTTTCAGTATTATTGAATGGCTGTTTTAGGGTACTTCAAACTATTTCGGTATTTATGTGACAAAGCATTCCAATAACTAGAAAACTAAAGTGTGACAATATAACAAGTTTACTGCATGTGATAGAATACAAGTCTTATATGCAACATAATGACTTTGGTATTACAGAATTTAACCTGTTTTGTAACTATCTTGTGTTACTCTTTGCTTACCTGTTCTGTGTTGCACCAACAGACCCCTTTTCCCCATAGCTTTTTACTATTATTCTTTCCCTTAGAAAAGGTGAAAATGCTCAAAAGTTCCCACCCACGAAAAAAATGTTAACCCAAATTTAAATTTCAGCATATTTTAACATTAGAAATAAGGTCTGTGCAACACCTACTTTTACCTGAATAGTACTATACAAAAGGTTACAGTGTTGACCAAAAGAAGACACAGGTTTCTCATTAAACTTTTGTTTTAATGGGTCT